TTTCACTTATATATAGTCTTGATCCCAGCAAGCATGATTGTAGAGGTAGTGGATCAGTAGCTTCAGTCTTCTACAGTGGCTTCAACTTGATGACCCACTCGGCATTTGGATTGAGCTGATACAAGTCCTTCATATAAGTGTCATCATCAAGACGGCGTTCCCCTGTTGAAGAGAGGTGGTACCAAGTTGAGCACAGTGGGAGGATGGGGTGCAGTTTTGAACTGAAACTCGATGGATCTGAAGTCTTAAATTTCTAAATACTTCTTCCTTTCCCATTCTCATCAGACACATATGTACTCACTAGCAGTTTAGCAAATAGGATAAATGACAGGTTTATTTTTCTATCTTGTAATACATATTAATACTTAAACAAAGAGGCAAAATACTGGAAAAACCAATTTGGCAGTCTTTCTCTAAATAAGTAGGTTTCCAATTAAATGAGGAATCAAAATACTTCGTACTGTAGGCTTTTAAACAGTTCCTTAAATTCATATTCACCTTTATTAATAATTTTAGGGCTGAGGTTCAGTGGTAGATCACTTGCCTGGCAAGGCCTGGGTTCCATCCTCAGCACCACATAAAAATAAGTAAAATAAAGGTATTGTGTACAACTAAAAAATAAATTTTTTAATAACAATTTTAGAATCATCTAATAGTAAAATCAAATGTATTAATGCTAATCTTTACTAGCAGATTTAACATTTGCAGTTCTCTAGTGGAGCTGTGGTTTATTTAAATGTTAAGAATGAGCCTTCACATATCCAGTATTCAACTAACATTTTTTTCAGTTCCAGAAAATATTGTATAAAACTTCAAATTATTTTCAATTAAACATTTCATTTTTAATGTCATCCTTATCAGTTTTCAGAGTCAAGGAAAAGTTTGTTTTAAAGAAGAAATGAGAGCCAGGCATGGTAGTGAATGCCTGTAATCTCAGTGGCTTGGGAGACTGAGGCAGGAGAATCACAAAGTTCAAAGTCTGCCTCAGCAATTTAGTGAGGCCCAAGGCAACTCAACAAGACCCTGTCTCTAAATAAATGATTAAAAGGGCTGGGAATGTGGTTCAGTACTTAAGTGCCCCTAGGTTCAATCCCCAGTACTAAAATAATAATAATAAGACCCACTGATAATTATAAAATAGGATAAATGACTTGTTTATTTTTCTATTTGCTAAATTACTAGTGAGTATATAAGACTTAGTAATTTTTGTCCACATTGATTTCCTACTTTTACTAAAAAAATCTAGTACTGTGCCATAATAAAACTATTTTATCTTGGTTTTAAATAAGCTCAACTCCTTCCTTTATTATGAAGGTATAAAAATGAAAGCAATTTGGAAAAACTCGTATCACTGTCCATTCTAGAAGGTTTTCCTATTCTAAGGAACTTGCCTTTGCTGAGGTTGAATGTAGGGGCATTTGTACAGAAGAAGCTCAACTAGAGCCTGGAGGAAAAAGTCCAGACCATTAAACAAATCCATAATATTCAGCAACTATCGAAAAGCATGCTATATTTTACTGACAACTTCCTTTTATTTTCCTTCAAAGATATAAATAACCACTGGCAATGTCAGATCAGCATATGGAATGCAAAGAGAAAAAAAATGTGCTTACCAATATTTCCTCCAATTTCATACAAAAAAACTTCCCCTTTCTTGAGAGTCTGGGCAACCCCACTATTTAGGGACAAAACAAACTGATTAGTTGTATCATCAAACAGCTTGCAAGTAAATCACTTTAACATGCTTGGGGAATTCTGGCTGGTATGGAAAATTCATAACTCAGACACACCGTAATTATCTACACATTTGTATTTTCCCATCTGTTAAATGTGCCGAATAGGTAATAAAAATGTCACACCTATAAATTAAAATAAACAAATGGAATCATACATCTGAAGGCAAAATAATAAATCAGTATCTAAATGTATAAAGTTTAAAGGAAAAGTTAATATAACATTTTAGCTGCCATTCAAATTAATATGATTATCTATCTTGCATAGAGGCCAAGTTTCCATCTCTGTTTTCACAATGAACTTATCCAGTAAGTTTTTGTCACGAGGCTGTTGTGCTGACAACTCCAATTGTACAAGATGAATGCAGAGAATGATTCATAGATCTCT